TGTATGCGTAGTGTATGATGGTATTTGTGTATGAACGGTATTTGTATGATGGTAGTGTGAGGGTAGTGTATGATGGTAGTAGTGATGACGGTAGTGTTGTATCAGGTATGTGTATGATGGTGTGGATGATGTAGTGTGTGGGAGGTAGTGTATGATGGTAGTGTGTAGTGACGGTAGTGTAATACGGTAGTGTTGCGTGAGTGTATGATGGTAGTGTGGTGAGGGTAGTGTATGATGGTAGTGTGTATGACGGTAGTGTATGACGGTAGTGTATGATGGTAGTGTGTGATGGTAGTGTGTATGACGGTAGTGTATGATGGTAGTGTGTGAGGGTAGTGTATGATGGTAGTGTGTATGACGGTAGTGTATGACGGTAGTGTATGACGGTAGTGTATGATGGTAGTGTGTGTGACGTGTATTTTGTAGTGTATGATGTAGTGTGTGAGGGTAGTGTATGATGGTAGTGTATGATGGTAGTGTATGATGGTAGTGTATGACGGTAGTGTATGACGGTAGTGTGTGATGGTAGTGTGTATGAGGTAGTGTTTGATGGTAGTGTATGATGGTAGTGTTGGTGTAGTGTATGATGGTAGTGTGTGTGGGTAGTGTATGATGGTAAGTGTGTATGACGTAGATGTATATGTTGTAGTGTATGATGGTAGTGTGTATGACGGTAGTGTATGATGGTAGTGTGTGAGGGTAGTGTATGATGGTAGTGTGTATGACGGTAGTGTATGATGGTAGTGTGTGAGGGTAGTGTGTATGATGTATATCAGTGAAACATAATGATGGGGAAGAGTGATGTATAACGTGCTAGTGGATCTACAGTGATGGAGGGACGCACCATTACTACAGTGATGGAGGGACGCACCATTACTACAGTGATGGAGGGACGCACCATTACTACAGTGATGGAGGGACGCACCATTACTACAGTGATGGAGGGACGCACCATTACTACAGGGAGGGAGGGACGCACCATTACTACAGGGAGGGAGGGACGCACCATTACTACAGTGATGGAGGGACGCACCATTACTACAGGGAGGGAGGGACGCACCATTACTACAGGGAGGGAGGGACGCACCATTACTACAGGGAGGGAGGGACGCAGCATTACTACAGGGAGGAGGGACGCACCATTACTACAGGGAGGGGGACCCCACCATTACTACAGGGAGGGAGGGACGCACCATTACTACAGGGAGGGAGGGACGCACCATTACTACAGGGATGGATTGACGCATCATTACTACAGGGATGGAGGGACGCACCATTACTACAGGGAGGGAGGGACGCACCATTACTACAGGAAGGGACGCACCATTACTACAGAGAGGGAGGGATGCATCATTACTACGGGGAGGGAGGGACGCACCATTACTACAGGGAGGGAGGGACGCACCTTTTCTACAGGGAGGGGGGATGCACCATTACTACAGGGAGGGAGGGACGCACCATTACTACAGGGAGGGAGGGTCGCCGTGGTGGTGGTGACTGTGATGGTGCCATAGTGGTGGTGGTGACTGTGATGGTGCCATAGTGGTGGTGGTGACTGTGATGGTGCCATAGTGGTGGTGGTGATGGTCGTGCCATAGTGCTGGTAATTGTGGTGGTGGTGAGAGTAGACAGCTTCAGAAACTGTAAGGTGGATGAGCAAGGCAGCTAAATTATGGCCGGGTACAACCAAAAAATCTATGATGAACTAATATATATAAGACTAAGAATTTTTCACTACTGATTTATATAGTGAAAGTGCGTAACAAAGCCACAAATACTCCAGATGCACTGAATATATGTGTAATTATCAGTCTGTGGTCAAGGACTAGAACTACACGTGTGTGTGTGTGTGTGTGTGTGTGTGTATGTGTGTGTGTGTGTGTGTGTGTGGGGTGTGTGTGTGTGTTTGGGTGTGTGTGTGTGGTGTGTGTGTGTGTGTGTGTGTGAGGCATCCACTTGTAGATAAAAACGGGAAAATAAATTTTCTCTTCCTGTTTTCGATATGGTCGTTTATGTGTGAGGGTATATATGAAATGTATTATATATATATATATATATATATATATATATATATATATATATATATATATATATATATATATATATATATATTATATATATATATATATATATATATATATATATATATAAAGTCGTCCCAAGCTTAGGGGCAACTCTACGTTAAACAACAAACCAAGCTTTTCTTTCAGTCACCTATGAAAAGTCGTGTTTATAATGGTGTGGTTCAGGTTGTGCAGAGTAAGCACGTAAGGAAGTGTGGGTGGAGAAATAAGCAGGCTCAGTGTGCCACGTTGTAGCCAGTAAATCCAGCGCTGAATGTTCACGTCATGTCGGCTAACCCACTGACATAGATAGCCTTGGATCACTAGTTCAGCCGCGGCAGCAGCATTAAAGTCTCCCACGTTGGTAGTGCTGAGGAGCAGTCAGCAGCAGCCCCTTGGAACCAACACCACCTCCACTGCTGCACGATTATCCCCAATCACTACTGCTCCGATCGCCGTTGTACCGATCACTACTGCCTCGATCAATATGTATTGATCATTATTTTCTTGATCATTTATACCCAGATCACTGCTGTTCCGATCACCAGTACCCCGAGCACTGCTGACTCAGTCATTGCTGCTGCACCAACCACCAATGTTCAGTCGTATTATTGTGGAAACCCGACGCTGCTTCGTTGTATTCCTTACCAACATAATTCATTAAACACTACGTGTTTATAGGCTTTATTATTGACATCAAGCACCGCAACTTCACAAGTCATTACTCGCGCCAAGCACTACTCCACAGGAGTCATTACTCACGCCAGGCACTACTCCACAGGAGTCATTACTCGCGCCAGGCACTACTCCACAGGAGTCATTACTCGCGCCAGGCACTACTCCACAGGAGTCATTACTCGCGCCAAGCACTACTCCACAGGAGTCATTACTCGCGCCAAGCACTACTCCACAGGAGTCATTACTCGCGCCAGGCACTACTCCACAGGAGTCATTACTCGCGCCAGGCACTACTCCACAGGAGTCATTACTCGCGCCAGGCACTACTCCACAGGAGTCATTACTCGCGCCAGGCACTACTCCACAGGAGTCATTACTCGCGCCAGGCACTACTCCATAGGAGTCATTACTCGCGCCAGGCACTACTCCACAGGAGTCATTACTCGCGCCAGGCACTACTCCACAGGAGTCATTACTCGCGCCAGGCACTACTCCACAGGAGTCATTACTCGCGCCAGGCACTACTCCACAGGAGTCATTACTCGCGCCAGGCACTACTTCACAGGAGTCATTACTCGCGCCAGGCACTACTCCACAGGAGTCATTACTCGCGCCAGGCACTACTCCACAGGAGTCATTACTCGCGCTAGGCACTACTCCACAGGAGTCATTACTCGCGCCAGGCACTACTCCACAGGAGTCATTACTCGCGCCAGACACTACTCCACAGGAATCATTACTCGCGCCAAGCACTACTCCACAGGAGTCATTACTCGCGCCAGGCACTACTCCACAGGAGTCATTACTCGCGCCAGGCACTACTCCACAGGAATCATTACTCGCGCCAAGCACTACTCCACAGGAGTCATTACTCGCGCCAGGCACTACTCCACAGGAGTTATTACTCGCGCCAGGCACTACTCCACAGGAGTCATTACTCGCGCTAGGCACTGTTCCACATGAGTCATGAGTCGCACTCGGCACTGTTCCACAGGAGTCATGAGTCGCGCCAGGTCCTGCACCACAGGAGTCATGACTCATGTCAGGCACTGCTCCGCGGTAGTCATAAGTCGCGCCAGGCAAAGTACCGCACAATGGTTGCCAGTGGCTTTAAGAGGCAAAACTCATGTAAAGACTGGCAACCCGATAATGGATAAGGACTTTCCGAAACTTCATTCAGGTTTCGTTTCCAAAACGTGTGTGTGTGTGTGTGTGTGTGTGTGTGTGTGTGTGTGTGTGTGTGTGTAATCCATAGAGTGTGGGGTCCCCTGATTGTGTGGGTGGAGGCGGGGGTCCCACACTATCTCAGCACTCATGAACATGTCGACTGCTGTCTTGCAGCAACTCGCAGCCGTCTTGTATAGGTTTAAGGAACATATCTCATAGGGCCGGCCCGTGGAGTGCGGTGAACGTTAAACTGCAGAAGAGTATACACAGAGTGCAAATGCAAGAAAACGATGAGTATTCGCTAAGACACAGGTGGCGGGACAAAGTCCTTGGAACCGCTAGGCTAGCGGCTCCGCGGGTACGGTATTTCCCGATGAATTTCGTCAATTTCGTATTTCTTCAAGTTCTGTTCCAGCTTTCCATTTTGCGTACGGTTAGTGAGGAGAGTTGAAGGTGCACTGGTGCTAGCATAGGGCCAATGTGTGTTGCTGCACTACGGGTAGCACTGTCAGCTACTTGGGCGGCAACAAGACGCACAAGTTGGCGTAGAGATGCTCACCAGGTGCTGCTATGGCGCTCAGGTACCGTTACCAACCTGGGACGACCTGATGCCCAGATTATACACCTTGTTTTAGGGCCCCGGGGCAGGTGGGTATTTTCGGGAGGCTAGAGGTATACCCAGGTGCCCACGTTGCCCCTAGGAATGTCCTGTACACTGGAAAACGACGAATATTCACAGACACTCAGTCATCTTGGGTGCTTGTCCCGTTGGCTGTACCGTTTGGTGCACCCGAGTAACCTGTTGGGTCGCTGTGGAGGTCCTCGCTACAGTATCCATAAGCATAATATCCTTCACCCCACCAGGAGCGTCATACCTTCTTGTAATAATATATATATATATATATATATATATATATATATATATATTATATATATATATATATATATATATATATATATATGTAGCACTTAGACGTCTAAACGTACGTTTAGATGTCTGAATGCGAAAGCGTATTGAACGTCTGGAGGCTGCATTTGCGTTAAAACCCATCACCAAAGAACAACTGGAGGACATGCGTCTGGTGCACTCACCTCTTGGTTGTCGTCCAGAGGGATGCACATACACCACTGGCTTAAACACTCTTATTAATTTCTGGAACTTTGGCTAGTATCGAGTAGTCTCAAGAGGCAATAGATCCACAGCACCGACACTCGAGGTGGCGTCGCGGCGGAGCACAGAAAAAAGTTCTTATTTCATTTGAAGAAGCAGTCACAATAGAAACAGTCGTTGGAGAAGTAGTAATAAAAATAACCCAAAGAGGAGAGAGCGAGAGCGTGATGGTCCGCCAACTGCCACAGCCACAACGAGACTAAAGCTAGCTGGCCTACATTCGCACCGCACCACCAGCACCACCACCACCAGCACCACCACCACCAACAACACCACCACCATCCTTGGCCCTGACACTGGAAGCCACCTCGTGCGAGCCACTACTCACTATAGGAAACAGCCCACGATATTGCAGAGAGCCATGTTCCAACTTATGTAGGTGTATGTATATGCAACCAAGCGGCAGGGACAACCCACAAGATTCTTTAAGTTGTTGGCAGTACAGCAGTGAGGTAAGCCGTCCGGAATGGCTCTTGACTCTTGACCCACACTCAGGGGCCCAGCCCTCCTCCTCCTCTTCTTCCTCCTCCTCCTTTGCCTCTTTCTTCTCCTGTTATACCTGTGCCTCTTCGTCGTCCTCCTGCTCCTACTCCTTTGCCTCTTTTTTTTTCTTGTTACACGTATACCTCTTCCTTCGCCATTTGTCCTCCTATTCGTTTGCTTCATTCTCCTGTTACTCCTATGCGTCCTCTTTCTTATCTTCGTCGTCTTCCCCCTCATCTCTTCCAACAACATCATTTGTCCGGTTATCTGGTTTATTTATGTTTCCAGATGACTACTGACTCAGCTGGTTGAGTTGTTGCTGCCGGAATAATAAACAACGTGTCTCAAACCTTCTCTTTTTGTGTACCTGAGCAGCCTATGGGAGATACCTTTAATATCTAGGACTGGCTCGTTTCCCCTCCCTCCCTCCCCTTCCCTATCATCAAACCCCTCCCCCCAACTCTCAGTCCCTCCCTCTAATGCCACCTCCTCCTCCTCCCTCCCAAATCCTCAACTCCCCCTCCCCTCCCCAGACCTCCTTACCGCGATTCGCTCCCTGATCCGGTGTGGAGAATCCACCCCCACACCTCCGTGTTGAGGTGTGGGGGTGCTGCCTGCACCAGTGTGGCTTGCACGAGGCTGATGCCTGCTGTGGGCGCTCCCCACCAGCAGGTATATGACTCTAGAGGAACAGAAGGAGTACAAGTAGGAGGAGGAGAGCTTGTTGAGTGTTCACTCTTACTCTCAGTTACAGTTCCTCCTTCTTAGGTAAAGTAGGTGACCCAAATATATGTTCCCGCAGACACCCCTCCCTCCCCCCTACATCCCTCCACCCCTCCCTCCCCCTACATCCCTCCACCCTCCCTCCCCCTATATCCCTCCACCCCTCCCTCCCCCCTACATCCCTCCACCCCTCCCTACCTCTATCCTTCCATCGTACCTCCCCCTCCACAACCCCTCCACCAACCCCCCTCCATAGTGTTACAGTCCTCACCCCCATCTCCGCCCACACATTCCCCCACACTTTTGATCCCTGTTGAGTCCCTACTCTCACCCCCCACCGTCGAGCCTTCACCCCCAAAGTCCACCCCTGTTAAAGCCTCACCCCACCTCCCCCCCTGTTGAGATCTCACCCCACCTCCACCCCTGTTGAAATGTCACCCCACCTTCCATCCCTGTTGAGATCTCACCCCCCCTCCCCCCCTGTTGAGATCTCACCCCACCTCCACCCCTGTTGAAATGTCACCCCACCTCCATCCCTGTTGAGATCTCACCCCACCTCCACCCCTGTTGAAATGTCACCCCACCTCCATCCCTGTTGAGATCTCCACCCCACCTCCACCCCTGTTGAAATGTCACCCCACCTCCATCCCTGTTGAGATCTCACCCCACCCCCACCCTGTTGAAATGTCACCCCACCTCCATCCCTGTTGAGATCTCACCCCACCTCCACACCTGTTGAGATCTCACCCCACCTCCACCCCTGTTGAAATGTCACCCCACCCTCCATCCCTGTTGAGATCTCACCCCACCCCCACCCCTGTTGAAATGTCAACCCACCTCCACCCCTGTTGAAATGTCACCCCACCTCCATCCCTGTTGAGATCTCACCCCACCCCCACCCTGTTGAAATGTCACCCCACCTCCATCCCTGTTGAGATCTCACCCACCTCCACCCCTGTTGAGATCTCGCCCCACCTCCACCCCTGTTGAAATGTCACCCCAACCCCCACCCTGTTGAAATGTCACCCCACCTCCACCCCTGTTTGAAATGTCACCCCACCTCCATCCCTGTTGAGATCTCACCCCACCCCCACCCCTGTTGAAATGTCACCCCACCTCCACCCCTGTTGAAATGCCCACCCCACCTCCACCCCTGTTGAGATCTCACCCCACCTCCACCCCTGTTGAGATCTCACCCCACCTCCACCCCTGTTGAGATCTCACCCCACCTCCACCCCTGTTGAGATCTCGCCCCACCTCCACCCCTGTTGAAATGTCACCCCACCTCCACCCCTGTTGAGATCTCACCCCACCTCCACCCCTGTTGAAATGTCACCCCACCTCCTCCCTGTTGAGATCTCACCCCACCCCCACCCCTGTTGAAATGTCACCCCACCTCCACCCCTGTTGAAATGTCACCCCACCTCCATCCCTGTTGAGATCTCACCCCACCCCCACCCCTGTTGAAATGTCACCCCCACCTTCCACCCCTGGTTGAGATCTCACCCCACCTCCACACCTGTTGAGATCCACCCCACCCCCACACACCTGTTGAGATCTCACCCCACCTCCACCCCTGTTGAAATGTCACCCCCCTCCACCCTGTTGAGATCTCACCCCACCTCCATCCCTGTTGAGATCTCACCCACCTCCACCCCTGTTGAGATCTCGCCCCACCTCCACCCCTGTTGAAATGTCACCCCACTCCACCCCTGTTGAGATCTCACCCCACCTCCACACCTGTTGAGATCTCACCCCACCTCCACCCCTGTTGAAATGTCACCCCACCTCCACCCCTGTTGAGATCTCACCCCACCTCCACCCCTGTTGAGATCTCACCCCACCTCCACCCCTGTTGAAATGTCACCCCACCTCCACCCCTGTTGAGATCTCACCCCACCTCCACCCCTGTTGAGATCTCACCCCACCTCCACCCCTGTTGAAATGTCACCCCCCCTCCATCCCTGTTGAGATCTCACCCCACCTCCACCCCTGTTGAGATCTCACCCCACCTCCACCCCTGTTGAGATCTCACCCCACCTCCACCCCTGTTGAAATGTCACCCCACCTCCATCCTTTTTGAGATCTCACCCCACCTCCACCCCTGTTGAAATGTCACCCCACCTCCATCCCTGTTGAGATCTCACCCCACCCCCACCCCTGTTGAAATGTCACCCCACTCCATCCCTGTTGAGATCTCACCCCACCTCCACACCTGTTGAGATCTCACCCCACCTCCACCCCTGTTGAAATGTCACCCCACCTCCATCCCTGTTGAGATCTCACCCCACCTCCACCCCTGTTGAAATGTCACCCCACCTCCATCCCTGTTGAGATCTCACCCACCTCCACACCTGTTGAAATGTCACCCCACCTCCACACCTGTTGAGATCTCACCCCACCTCCACCCTGTGAAATGTCACCCCACCTCCATCCCTGTTGAGATCTCACCCCACCTCCACACCTGTTGAGATCTCACCCCACTTCCACCCCTGTTGAAATGTCACCCCCACCTCCACACCTGTTGAGATCTCACCCCACCTCCACCCCTGTTGAAATGTCACCCCACCTCCATCCCTGTTGAGATCTCACCCCACCTCCACACCTGTTGAGATCTCACCCCACTCCACCCTGTTGAAATGTCCCCCCACCTCCATCCCTGTTGAGATCTCACCCCACCTCCACACCTGTTGAGATCTCACCCCACCTCCACCCCTGTTGAAATGTCACCCCACCTCCATCCCTGTTGAGATCTCACCCCACCTCCACACCTGTTGAGATCTCACCCCACCTCCACCCCTGTTGAAATGTCACCCCACCTCCATCCCTGTTGAGATCTCGCCCAACTCCACCCCCTTTGAGATCTCGCCCAACTTCCATCTCTGTTGAGATCTCGCCCCACTTCCATCTCTGTTGAGATCTCGCCCCATCACCACCCCAAACGAGATCTCGCCCCACCTCCATCTCTGTTGAGATATCGCCCCACCTCCATCTCTGTTGAGATCTCGCCCCACTTCCATCTCTGTTGAGATCTTGCCCCATCACCACCCCAAACGAGATCTCGCCCCACCTCCATCTCTGTTGAGATGTCGCCCCACCTCCATCTCTGTTGAGATCTCGCCCAACTCCACCCCCGTTGAGATCTCGCTCCACCTCCACTTCCCCATGGAGATAAGAGAGAATAAACCATAACAAGAACTAGTAAGAAAATAGAAGGAAACCCAGAGGGGTATGTATATATATGCTTGTACATGTATGTGTAGTGTGACCTAAGTGGAAGTAGAAGTAGCAAGACGTACGTAAAATCTTTCATTTTTATGAGACAGAAAAAGACACCAGCAATCCTACCATCATGTAAAACAATTACAGGCTTTCGCTTTACACTCATTTGGCAGGACGGTAGTACCTCCCTGGGTGGTTGCTGTCTACCAACCTACTACGTAGGGGGGATTACATATATATATATATATATATATATAATATATATATATATATATATATATATATTTTATATATATATATATATATATATTATATATATATTGTGCAAAACAACCACTCTGAAAGAATAGAGAAATTCCAAGCGCTTTCGTGACTACTCACATTATCAAGGAACTATGAAAGTAAAGCATCCAAGGAAGCTATATAAGGGGTCTGGCCAGCACCTCACTGTCAGATCCCACAACGGTTAAACACCTGACGCGCGCCGACACAACTGTATAGGTCCTTTGCACACTGTGTATGAATAAAGAGAAAGGTAGTCCGGGGTGCTCGAACCGTGGTCCTGAGATTAACAGGTTCAGCACCTTATCGCTGAGCTACTGAGCTCTTAATAGGAAGGTTTGACAGAAGGCACTGTTGTGTACTGTCTGCGTCAGAGGTCAGTGTCTGTGACCCAGCTGTTCTTTTCCACAGCCACAGCAACCTTTACAGGTTGCTGTGGCTGTGGAGGTGGGTATATGAGGTGGGTACGTGTGGTGTGGAGTTGGGTTAATGAGGTGTGGAGATGGGTACATGAGGTGTGGAGGTGGGTGCATGAGTGTGGAGGTGGGTACATGAGTGTGGAGGTGGGTACATGAGTGTGGAGGTGGGTGCATGAGTGTGGAGGTGGGTACATGAGTGTGGAGGTGGGTACATGAGTGTGGAGG